AGTTAAAGTATTATTCTCTTGAAGTTTCAGTATAACGTAAATTGAGGTGTATTCATAAGAGCCTTTATATCTGTATATCGAACGGAAGTTACATCTCATATGGGAAGCGGTTACAGTGAAGATCTTGTCATACGTCCTGTTTCACCGCAAGAGCTTTATACTCAGACATGTCCAATCGATCTGATGGTCAAATTAAGACTCAGTTTAGACATTTGATATGTCAAATTAAAATTGTTTTAACCAATGCATTAGCTTATGTCTTTATTAATGCAAGAAACAATAATTATATGAAGCGTATATTATTATTTTAATATTGTGATACTGTAGGCCTATATCTTAATTCCCCAAAATAAAATTGGATACCTACATTCCCCATTGAGACTAAAAAGTGCATAAGTCACAAAATTATTGAAACAAAAAAGTTGAAATCATGTAGAAATTGCTCACATATTTTTATTCGGGTGAAACTTTGTTTGTATTGTTTATTAGCCGATCATAGTTTCCAGTCTTTGGATTTCGTTGTTTAGAATAAACTGTAGACATAATTTTACTGAAAGAATTGATATAATATGGGCCTTGTGAATCCTAAATTTAACAAACTGATAACGCGAAAGTAGTCAAAAAAGGATTAAGATAAATATAATTTTATTGTTAGTTATTTAGTAAGTACCGGTAGTAAGTAGGATGTGAATTTGCGTCAGGAAAATATCACTCCTATTTAGTAATTTATGAACTTTACATTACCATCTTTTTAAATATAATTAACATTTCAATAAGTTGATATAATTGAAAGTATTACGATAATTATGTAGGCCCTATTTCATTTTGATTGATTCAATTTAATTGCTTTACATTCGCCAATCATTCTAGATAAACTCTTGTATTATAATGTGCAACTGCTACCCTGCACAACTGTTTGGTCCAACTATGTTATCTAAATTTGTAGATTTCACTGCAGACTTTTTGTAGATGACATGAAGTTGGCCGACAAATGGCACCGGATCGCAGCCTAATGTAATCAGCTCGATCAAAAAAGCCCCTCGATTATACGAGAATTATTCGTGCTGAATGAAAATAAACATCACGAATATAACATTTTGTATTTCACATAACATATTATTTGGCTCAGTTTAGGTCACGCCTCAATAATTTGCTTAAAACAAATATATTTTAATATAAAATAAAACAATGTACACAAACTTATAAAGACTTCATTTGTATTTATTAGTTACACATTTGTTTCGTATGAGTAGCTACACGCTACTCACAACTCATCATGCATAATGAGCATACCAGTGATTGGATTGTACATATATTAATATCAAATTGTACACTACTGTAATTTATACGGTACCTTTTATGTATTTTATGACTATGTTCTGATAGTGTAAATTATTATTATTATTATTATTATTATTATTATTATTATTATTATTTTTATTATTATTATTATTATTATTATTATTATTATTATTATTATTATTATTAGGTATATTGTCATTATCTGCACCATTATAATCATCATTATCATCGGCGCCATCAACATCATCGCCATAATCATCAACATCATCATCGTCATCATCACCACTATCATCATCATCATCATTATCGTTATTATCACCACCATCATCGTCATCCTCGTCCTAATCATCATAATTGTCATTATCATCATCCTTATTTATATTATTATTATTTTCAAGCCTACCATATTCTAATTGTACACCACTAGCTTGAATTCCAGTAATTCTCCAACCGATTTTTAAAACATGATACCAAGGCCTACGTTCTGTTTTAAACAACAAATTTAAAGTTCTTAAACAGCAGACAGCACATTCCTCAGCAATAAACGCCTACTAAGTTTCGAACGCACTTTCACACCTCGATTAATAAAACAGCGCCATCACTAAAAGTTAATTTTTCTACCCCTCTGAGTTTCTTGAAGGTCAGCAAGTCCTTCCGAGACTGCGAAACTTAGCAAAGTCTACGTTTGGCAAGCTTTACTAGTGTGATAGGAAATGCAAGTACCAGGGGCATTTAGTAAGTATGGATTAAAAACACTAACTTCGAAGAGCGCAAACATAGTTTTGTCTCATCGCGAATGGAATGGCATCATTAAAATAGCCGTCGCATATTCATCATTATATAGAATTTATCGTTTGCTTGCGATATACTTTGAAGAAAAAAAGGAGATCGATATCCTATAGTGTATGATGGCTGTTAATAAATGGATGTATTACACGTTTTCTGTCTGTCTTATGCTGTTCGTTGCAAACAAGGTACGTGTTCACACTTAGTCTAGAAGTAACGTGAAGTCTACTTACACCGGGTGTAATATGGTTATATTAAAAGACCGGTTCGGTGTTAATAAAACTATAGGACCCAAATCTACACACACACAGGCTTAGGCTCCATTTTAGCCTGTACATTTGGAATTGAGATATTTCCAATTGGATTTGAACATGACCCCAGTGATTCATTTGGTTATGGGGGCAGACTGCATAATTCATAGACAACAGCAGGTCCATGTTCGAATCCCACGGTACAATACATCCAACAACTTCTAGGCCTATGATGATATTGTATTTCTTGTTGCAATTGCTAATGAGATAGATGGACATGTATATTCAGTACTTTGCCATAGATTGGCCGTCGGCTGACAACATCCGTGCATTAGTAAACATATCACAATGCATCAACACCTGCCCGCCATCTGTCCGTTACTTTGATGGTACCTACCTCAATCCCACCTCCCCTTTCAGTAGCAACAGCCTCACCTGATCTTAGGTCTTTAACGTATACTTTGATCCAGATAGGCCCTATGCTGATTAGGCCTATAGCAGTTTAATTGGAAAATTGGGATTCCCCTAAGCAAAGTCGCGGATGCATGCGACATGCATACCCTCTTTTTATGTGCCATAAGTATGCGAATTTAGCTGATTAGATGAAACTTTCACTTTAACAATAGAGTAATAATGAAACAATGTCATAATGTGTAGTTCTCTTTCCCACTAAAAATCACTAGGACGGCGGTAGCGATTTTATTTTCTCCGAATATAAACTCTGGACTATAAAATTGGTAATATTCGGCCTGCGTCTACCAACTAGACCTCATAGGACGCAGAAGCACCCGTGAAGAACCACAGACGCGTCAGCACTAACCTGCTAAATAACCCGCTGAGGTTTCGATTTATTTTGCAAATTAATAAAGTTAATACAGAACACTTACGTTATTTCATAATACTGTACGACAGAAACGGAAAGCCGTCTACCCATTGTATTCATTCAATCAATTCACATGGAAATGACGCTAACATGAAAATTTATATTCATGGTACTAATGGAGTTGTTTTACCAGTAGGCATATTACTTTTAACCTATAATATACTGATGTATTATTTTCGCCTTTCATGATTTATATTTTATATTAGTTAAAATTGAATTCATCATAACAAATGGATAGGGAAAAATGGAATATAAATCGAATAAAAATTATTCAAAATGCATTAATTTGGGGTTTTCTAGAGGGCGGTGTTATCGATTACGCTATCCTTGGATTTTAGAGCATGCAGGATGAGGTAATGTGGTACACGTGATGTTATGTAATATCCTGATTAATGTAATATTAATCAATTCTCTTAGGGTTGAATCATTCGCAATCATAGTCGCAAAATACTATAGCTTATTTTTTTCAAATAGGGTATAGAATTTCGCACTAACTATCTAACCCAAGTTAGGAAGTACAAAGCGTCATATTCCTCTTTATTTTTTTAATTTTTTTTTAATGAAAGTGAAAACGTTAGCGTCATTTCCATGTGCGGTATTTATAAACATGTCTTGATTTCAAAGGGTTTTTTTCTGCACTTCATCATGACCGGGTTAAGTCTACAAGACGTATTAACTGTTAAAACATCTATGAGGCGCAAAATAAAATGCATACATAGGCCTATGCCTAATGTTTTATGAATTGATTGAATGAATACGATGGGTAGACGGCTTTCCGTTTCTGTCGTACAGTATTATGAAAATAATACATCAGTATATTATAGGTTAAAAGTAATATGCCTACATATGTATATATATTTTTTAATGTGTATGTATATACATGTATATATATATATGTACGTGTATATACATGTCTGTATGTATATATATACATATATATACATGTGTATATACATGTTTATATGTATATATATACATGTACATATATATGTATATATATGTACATGTGTATGTAAATGTATATATATGTATATATGTACATGTGTATATACATGTGTATATATATGTGTGTATATGTATATATGTACATGTGTATATACATGTATGTGTATATGTATATATATATGTACATGTGTATATACATGTATGTGTATATGTATATATATGTACATGTGTATATACATGTGTGTGTATATATATATATGTACATATGTATATACATATACATGTATGTGTATATATATATATATACACATGTGTATATATATAGGCCTATAATAAAAGTCGAAGGTGGTATATAATTTGCCACAAATTTATATATTTATGTGTATGTATATATTAGCAACTATCATACGATATGCACTAAACTAAGTTAAAGCTTATCTAAAGCAACCCAAATTGTGCTATTCTAAGGTAAATCTAAGCTATCATTAAGGAGGACTGCTGTCAGTATTAGTGAGACAAAAATTAGTGTTTCACTTATGAATTCATGACTCTTGTGTGAAGGAAAACATCTTTGACTATTGAGTTAATATATGGCACTCTAGCAATAATAAGCATAATGTTATAACATTAAACATACACAAAATCGTATATAGGCTATCAGTAACCCTGCTAATTAAGTTGACGTGTGTCGCAATGCATCGAGGGTTGCAATTATTTTTTTTTTAACTTCGGCCTATTTTATGTTACGTATACTTTATTTTACAGTTCATATTCGCAATTTTTAATAGTGCAATGAGAAGAAAAAGAAATCTAATTAGTCATTAAAACACACTTTTCAATCATGAAAATTGAATAAATGTTTAATTCATAGTTCATGCTAAGATCATTTTAAAAACTCCATAAGGTGAAACGTATCGTGTACTGGTAGTTATTGAAGCGAAAAAAATAGTAGAACCCCTATTAAGGGAACTAAAAATGTTGCCTTAATTTGGTGTCCCCTGAATAGTGGTTGGTCTTAATGTTAAATTTTTTTTATTTTCCCTCGTTTTGCGTTGGTTCTAGTGTACTAAGGGAATTCAACAAGCGACCTTATTTGCTTGATTCATATTATAATTGCACTCGTAGGAACGTTGACAGTAACGTTGTAGCTAACTTGTAGGTTCCGAATTGAAATAATTCGAAATGTCTGCCTAAATGCGTTAATCTATAAGTTTAACGTGTAGACCTACTAAATGCACCGATGTGTTTTGTTGTTTGTGATTACTTGGAAATCTAGCAGAAAGTGCAATGTCCAATTTTGCTTCCAGTATTAATAGCAACCGTCTAGTCAGAATAAAATCTATGAAAGGCAATGAACTATTGTTAATATAAAACAAAATGTAACTGTAATTCTTTTTTACTATGACCGTTGCTCTAAAATACCATATCATATAATATTGCATATAGTATAATTGTATTATTTTTATCTTTATTATCATGACGATGACGATTATGATATTCATAATAATAATAATTATTATAATAACAATAATTATCCTAATTTTCGTGATGATGTTATTACATGATATTATTAACAAAGAAAATCATTAACTAATGAAAGCAACATCAACAAGAAAAACAAGAAATTTACATACAATAAGAAAACCATCAAATAAGGCAAAGAGGAACACAAAAAGTCACTAGCAGCAGATGTGGTAGTAGTAGTAGTAACAGTAGCAGTAGCAGTAGTAGTAGCAGTAGTAGTAGTAGTAGTACAAGTAGCAGCAGTAGTAGTAGTAGCAGTAGTAACAGTAAACATTCGCCTTAAAATACCAGTAATCAATAAACTCAGAAATTTAAATATGGCCCGATTGTTTAAAATAATAAGTAATAGGTCAAAACACAGTGAGACTCATAGGGAAAATATTGTTGTTTAAACTGAAAAAGTTTATTGCACTCCCTCAACCTGGAGCCCAGATGATTCCGTTATGGAGTTGTAACACGTGTTTTTCACTCAAAATATTCCGATTTTCTGTACGATCCTATTAACAATGCCAAAATGAGTTTTCAACTGTTATTATGGACTACCTGACATCTCAAAGTATGATAACCAATGCGTTTTTGTCATCAGGTATTTTTACCTCTTTAATCAATGTTCAATAGTATTTTTATTTACATTTCCTTAATAAAGATTTTGATGACTTTCGTATTTATTTCATTTATTTTATCATAATTATTAAAAACTGAAAAAATATTATAGTGCTATGTCATAGTGTTATTTTTATGTTTTATATGAGGTATATAGACGTGAGATTATTTAAGATTTTAGTTGAAATCTCATTTTTGAATATTGTATCTAGAATTTTATAGGTGCTGCTCTTTTCAATTTTTGTCTCAAAATACAATGTTCAAGGTCATGGCAACAATACTTACACTAACTGTAATATTTTTTTTTACTAATTACGAATTAAAATAAATCATAATGTTTATAGATCTTGGTTTAACACAATTCTGAAGTGTACAGTATTCACATTAGATATGGCAATCATGCACACATAATAGGCAAATATATTATTAAAAGCAATGGCAATTTGTCAGTCAGTGATTTATATTAGCTAAGGCAGTCTCTAGTGGTACTTGACAACCCACGTTCACTGCGACAGAAGTATCACTGTGCTATTCGATGGCTGTTGTGGGTTCCATATCTAAGTTCGATTTTCTAAAATGAATACTATAGAAAATAATCGCTTCATTATGGTCGCTGATTTCACTGTCTCTAAGGATAAAATACTACATTAATAACAAGAGACATATTGGAAATTCTAGGATCTGAAAACGTCTGTGAACTCGTAACCATTGTAACATTATGTCCTAATTCATTATGTATTTTTTAACTTATTTACTTCTATTATTTACTTATTACTTAGGCTTATTATTATTTCTATTCTTGCTATAGGCCTATATAACTTGCATATATATTTACCATAGCTGTTCAAATTTTTGATAATCCGTGTACTAGGTAATATGCACCGTGTAAGGTAAGAATTACAGATAAAAAAATTACCCATTTTTGTTTGTTAAGGAAATTTGAGAAAACTTCTATTCGTTTACACAAAACCACATTGGATTCTAATTTTCTATTTCTATTCTATTTCAGGTTGAGTGCAAACGTTATAAACACATAAAAGGTAAGTTGAAATTTGTTATTCGCAATGGGTAAGCATTTTCTAAAGGAAGGTATTGCTTTTTTATACCTCACCTTAGGATGTTGACTGAACTTATCAGACGTATTTTCTTCCCCGTTAAATTTGTAGACGTCGGATTTACTCGGGCAATGCTAATTGCATTTTAGGAATCTAATAACAAATTTCAGAAGTGTAACTCTACGGTTAAATATATTTAGGGTCTTACATTATAGAGAGAGGCGACTTGCGTTGATCCCAGTTTGAGTTGAAGGGGTAGTTTAAAGCAATTTTGGACGGGTAATTTTTGGTAGTCAAGTAATTGTTAATTAGTGTCTCGTTGGACGCTGTTATTAAATATTTGGGTTTATATGGAAAGTGAGAATGCTAGGATTCAAGGGAGTGAGTTTATAATGAAGAATATTGTGAAAACAGCGAATGGGGTTGATACGAAACTGCAATATGTGTTTAGTATTTGACTTGAAATCATAAGATGTAGGCCTAGGCTACAGTAGCCATTTGGTGCCAATGACGGTCTGTAAGAACGTCGCTAAGTAACTGTGAAATTATTATGTGTTGTGTGTTCTAACTATCCAGAACGGATGCTTTCAACATGGTGGATATAATGGATAAGCAGACAACGTTTATTAGGCATATACTTTAGTAAGCCTCTATTTTTATAATAGCTAGCTATTTATAGTCATGTGGCCACAATTATGTTAGCAATGATCAACCTTTATCCCGTTTTAGTATTGTGGATTAAAATATTGAACGTTTAAAAATAAGTTGATAAAATAGACACTTTTTCCAATAAGGTCACTTAAATCATTATAGATTAGGACTTTTAATTCATGTAAACGCGTCAACAACCATCCACTAAAACGCGTTTTTTTTTTAACGCTAAACTACAACGAGGCTTAAGTTATGAGGCTTAAACTTTTAACCAATAACACGGAGTTCGTAATTAGTTTCTTAATAGGGGGTTTCTAACAGTGATTCAGATTAGAAGCTCACTACTATAACGTTACAATGAATTGATACGGTACCTACTTATAGATACTGTAGCTTCAGTTTTCGCAACATGTACAGAACCGTCACGTGACACTATCAATCACTTGCACATTTGTCAACAGACATCTTAACAAGTATGTCTCGCTGTGATAAAGCGTAGACACTCCCTTGTGACATAAAAATGGGGATACAGTCCATATCCAGTCCAGGAATCTTAATATGATTTAAGGAATTTTCTTAGACCTAATGCAGAACTTGATCACTACTACAAAAAGAAAAAAATATCAAGAATCATTTTGCAATACAAGATGAATGATATGTAGGCTTAGTATTGTGTGATTTGTTAAAGATATATGTTATGATGTTGAAAAATAAACTACATGCCTACTGCCCCCAAATGACCACAAAGGGTGGGTGAAGCTGTACTGCAGCTATCCGTTTCTCCCAGGCCGGGGGCCTAGCCGATATACCCTGGTTACTGAACTGGAACCAATGAATTCCGGTACGTCAGGTTAGCTTCGTACCTAAAGTCTAATACTGTATTATCATGACAAAACTTAAAAATGTAAAAAAGAAAATCGAACGTTTTAATTTGTGTATTCAAATATGTTATTAGCTTTTAGCCGAATTAACAAGGAAAATTATTTTCCTTCCAAAAAGTTACAGTTGGTTAAATAGTATACCGGCATCATTTCTTTTGTATTTGCATACATATATATTTAAGATATTTTAGTTCTATAAATCATTGAAAACCGATTAAAAAATATTCTCGATGTTCTTATCTTTTATTTATTTCCAGCTCAAAATGTTCTTAATTAAATTGTTTTCATTTTTCACACTTCAAATATAGAAAATTATTATTTTACAGCAGTGTATTACTGTAATGTACCGGTATTATATAGGGTATTGCGTAGTCACGCCTACTGCTCATAAGGTACAAATATAATGTGTTGGTTTTTCTGTTAAAAGAAAATAAAAAAGCTTAGGCCTATATGACATTTTACCTCATCCTCAATTTGTTCTTAATTTTTAAGCAATTTCAGCATCTGTGTTCTTATAAAACGTGTTCTCTTTTTAAATAAAAGTGTATTGAGTTCAAATGAAATAACTATAAGTAGCTTTACTGTACTTAAATATTTAAAGGTATTTCTTGAGTATTTCTGGATGCTTATATATTTAATACAAAGTAATAATTATCAGTTTTAATTAAGAACGAACCCGACTGCAATCGTATCAATATTTTAGCCTTTGGGATCATCTTACTATATAATTTGTTAAATTGTGTGATAATTTATTGTTATCTTAGGTATTGTTGCATTGTGTTTTAACTTCTGTGCATTTCGTTTAGATTTTAGGCCCTATTTCGGAAAGTATTAATATATGAAAACAAACGTGTCTTATTTAAAACTAGTAATTTAATCACTCTGTTAGTTGAGAATTATGAGGTTAGGGTAAGTGTCAGCTCTAACATCAGGAATAATTTATAGGCGTCTTTGTCAAAAAATTCAAACGGTTACTTAAAATTTAATTTTATGTCACTTAAATAGGGGCATGATAATGTCATATCACACTCATATGTGGGGAAAATCACATGTAGACCTATTTTTGACAGCAGGCAGATCTTAATTACTGATATACAATACTGCCTGTCTGTCTGTATTGAACCAACACATTTTTTAACAGGTTGATCAAGTTGTTTTTCTGTAACGTAAGTGTTTGAAGCTGCCTGTTTTCATGTGAATAGTACTTCAGGATATTAAACAACTGTTTCCCAGTATCTGTTGCGCTCACAGAATAGTAACGCCCGGCTAGTGGGATCCATTTTCCAATTCTATGACGTCTCACTAACTGTTGATGGATTATATTCGGAACCATTACACATATTTCTCTAACTTCCTTACGTTGTAAAAAATAATAGAAAGTTTATTCTACAGGGACTATTCATTAACGTGTTATTACTCCCTCTGCTGCGAGTGGTTGCCGTTCTTTTGATGATTGCTCTGTGATTTTAGGCTTAAGAAATCGAATTTCGAATGTATGTACGCACATGGCAAAATGCCCAATACGTTATGTTCACATGGCAATTGACCGTTTTGAAAGGTAGTTTTCGCCAGTGACGTAGTCGGGGCGCTGGGGGGGGGGGGAGGGGGGTGG